ACTTTTCCCTTTCCACTGCCTCCTTTTCTTCCACTCTCAAGCAGTACTTGCACCCAAACTCCACACATGGCCATCTGGACAAACTGTCCGCATTTTTGTGCAACTTTCCACTGCGATGCTGAATGTCCAAATCATATTGTTGAAGCCTCTCCGCCCACCAGACCAACTGCCCTTCCAAATCCCTGAAAGACATCAGCCATCTCAATGAAGCGTGATCGGTTCGAACCAAAAACTTCCGTCCGTAGAGATAGTGATGGAAAGACTTCACCGAGTCAACAACTCCTAAAAGTTTCCTTCTAGTTACACAATAATTCCTCTCAGTCTTACTAGAAACTCGGCTACAATACGCCAAGACCTTCTCAGTTCCCTGCTGTACTTGTGAATGGATCGCACCAATCTCATGCCCAGACGCATCAGTATCCAATATTAACTGCACCCTTTCCGACGGAAACGAAAGCACCGGAGGAGAAGTTAACATTTGCTTCAAACGCAAGAACGCTTCTTGACATCGCTCAGACCAAACAAATTTTGTATTATTTTCCGTTAAAATGTACAACGGCTTTGCTATCAAAGAAAACCCTTTCACAAATTTTCGGAAATACGAGGAAAACCCTAAAAAATTGTAAACCTGCTTTTCATTTTGTGGAACTGGCCACTCTGAAACCGCTTTAATCTTATTCGGATCCGTAGAAATCCCCGCGGCCGAAATCACATGTCTTAAATACTTAACTTGCTTCTCAAGAAAAGTACACTTCTTTGGATTCAACTTCAAATTTCTCTCCCTGAATCTCTGAAACATCTTCCTAAAATTGGCTACCATCTTTTCAAAGGATTTCCCGAAAACGATAATGTCATCTAAATAAACTAAACAAATCTCGGACAGCAACTATCGTAAGATCCTCTCCATCAACCGCTCAAAGGTGGCCGGCACATTGCACAATCCAAAAGGTATCACTGTAAATTGCCGCAATCCATTCCCTATCGAGAAGACAGTCTTTTCCTTATCCTCTTTGCGAATCTTTACCTGCCATTAACCACTCTTCATGTCTAAGGTAGAAAACCACGTATTGCCTGACAGCCGGTCCAAAAGATCATCAACCCTAGGTAGAGGATAAGAATCTTTGACCGTGACCGCGTTTAATTTACGGTAGTCTACGCAGAATCTCAAGGACTCATCTTTCTTCTTTACCATTATTGCTGGAGAAACCCTCGGGCCGGAAGATTCCTTAATGACTCCCTGTTTTCTCATTTTACGAAAAATCTGTTCCACCTCCGACCGCATGCTTAACGGCACCTTCCTCGGGGCTTGCTTAATTGGACAAGGATCTTGTAGACTGATCTCATGTTGCAGGACCTCACAATTACCGGCCACATTCTAGTCAGTGAAGATGTCCTGAAATTTGTTTAAGAAATCAGCAAAAACATCCTTCTACGCCTCATCAAGGCCGACGGAGTCCCGCTCAAAGAGTTCCTTCAAGCTCGACGGAACAACTTCAACCTCCTCAGTCACTTGACAACAAACCTTCTTTGACTCATGCAAAGAAAAACGAAAACTGAGCAACAGACTCCCGAGTCTTTTCCATTCCCACTCTACTACAAAAATCCACTCCTAAAATATAATCCTCAAACATATCCGCTACCTAAACAGGAATGCTAAGAGAAATCCCATCTACTGCTATACAAGCCTCACACTTGGAATTAATCGGAACATTTTCCCCCTTTGGATACCGAAACTTTTGTCTTTCCCACAACTTCCAACACCGAGACCTCTCAACTAACTTCGTATTTACAATAGACACGTAGGAGCTCGTATCAAGCTTAAAACGGCAAATTCTGCCATTTAATCTCCCATTCAACACAAACAAATCCTTCCTTTCCGATCCGATCTTCCAAACAAAACGCTTCATTTCCGGAGCGTTACTTTTCCTAGCCGAGCTCACCTTGGCGAGGTCGACTAATCCCTGTTTTCCCGAGAAGAATTCGCCGGATACTCATACCAAAAGTGCTCCTTTTTCCCGCACAATGTGTATGTGTAGCGTATGTGTCGCGGGAGCCGCGTGAACGGCGCGCGCTCAACGCGACTGTTTGTTGCCGGACGACTCGCGAGTTCTTTGTTAAAGAAAAATTGCGGAGAGCTGTCACGTCGCGCTTCAACGATTCGTCTTGATACAATTTGTATTCTGATACCAATTGTATTCTGAGAGGTAATAAAGTGTTTTGAGAGAGAAACCGCGCTTCTTCTTTGCCGCGAACGCGTGCGTGAATCTCAGTGGCCGGTGATAGTGCCGTCTTGCCTCCGCGGGCATAACATCTTGGGGACTCGTCCGGGATAGTGAACGGACGGCAAAGAGACACGAAAGAAAGTCTTCGACGCAAATTTCCGAGATGGAGACGCTCGCTATGACTACCTCGAAGCGAGGCGGTGCGATGGACATCGACGAGAAAGGCGTTGCGTCTGTTGGAACAAAGAACGGACGTGGAAACGTGGCGACGGAGTCCGCGGTTTTACAATCCGCTCTCAAAGAGATTCGCGAGCTGCGAGAGGAACGGCAGCGGGAGAGAGAGTTGGTTCATCGCCGAGAAGCGGAGTTCAGCAAGTATATGCGACAGCGAGAAGGGAGACACGCCAGCTGGAGGAGCGGCTGCAACAAACTTTCTCAGGCGAGTCGTTAACAAATTTGTTTTCCGGTCGGGCGGGCAAACTTTCGGGACTGAAAATACAGTCGGATGTATTCGATGGGAGCGTTCCGTGGCGTGAGTTTCTCGCGCAGTTTGAACTGGTTGCTCGCGTGAAGCAACGGGTAGAGCGACGTGGCGAAGGCCACGGTTCTCGCCACTAGTCTGAGAGGGGAGGCGCGTTTGATTGTAGAAGGGTTAGAGGAAAGCTTTCGTTTTCGGGGTTAGAGCACACATCGGAGCCAAATTCGGAAGGTTGGGAAGAAATTAGGAAAGTGTAAAGAGAATTCCTGGAAGAGGGAGGTTCACGTTTTGCCGACTGCTCCTTCTACGGGCCCCGTGGCTGGTTGCTCATCATCTCTTTTGAAGATAGTTAGGTTTGATTCCAGTCAATTGGATTGCTTCTCTGTCTTGTGTAACATTTTCTAGGTTCTTATTTGTTTTGGTTCTTGATTTAAAGTTTGTGTTTTTTTAGGTTTTTAGTTTCTCTAGGTTTTCTATTAGTAATTTCTATTTGTTCTTAAAAAAAAAATTCTTATGGTTCTAGGGTGGTGTAGAAATGTGTTTGCGTTGTCGTGAGGTAGTGGTGAAACGCAGTTACTGCGGGGTTTTGGGAAGGGAGGTATTCTTGCGTTAATGCCGAATGAATTAATTTGGAAGATGGAATTATCTCTACGCTCTCTCGGTGCAGTTTGTGTTATGTAAACTTTAAACTCTGTTTTGTTGTTGTTGTTTTTTTTGTTGCTTCTTATTTCTAGTTTTGCGTTGTCACGGACGTCGGGACGTGGCGACATGTACTATATCAGGAAAGACCGCCTCGCCTACGGTTTTTAACCGTGGTTTGCCCGTGGGCCGTTGTGCAAATGCCGAGACGGGGACTCTGGGTGCCTATTTTTGGGAGGTGAGTCCACGCTAGTTTTTGCCTCCTGTCCGAAGATCGGAAAATTGCGAGATTGTCGGAGCTCCAAAGAAGAGAAGTTCTCAAGAGGAATTTCTTCGACCGGTCAGCTTGAGATCCTGTTGCAGCAGTCCAGGAGTGAGCGGGAAGACCGGACCTCCTTTAATTGTCGGGACGACAATTTGGGAGAGGAGGGAGGCAATGTTACGCAGCCGTCACTGCGTATGTGTCGCGGGAGCCGCATGAACGGCGCGACTGTTTGTTGCCGGGCGACTCGCGACTTTGTTGAAGAAGAATTGCAACGGAGAGCTGTCACGTCGCGCTTTGACGATTTGTCTTGATACAATTTGTATTCTGATATCGTTTGTATTCTGAGTAGTAATAAAGTGTTTTGAGAGAGAAACCGCGCTTCTTCTTTGCCGCAAACGCGCACGTGAATCTCAGTGGCCGGCGATAGTGCCGTCTCGCCTCCGCGGGCGTAACAATTTTATCATTTTTTATATAATATTGTATTAGTGTTTGTTTCTTCTATGTTTATATTATTCTATTTTAATATACGGTTTCATATGTGTTAAATGTATTGTTCTTTTTATGTTTATTTTATTTTTTTATATTCTTCTATTTTTTATAGTATTCTATGTTTTATATATTATTGTATTTTATATAAGGTTTGATATGTATTCCATATATTGTTCTTTTTATGTTTTTCTATACTATTATTCTATTTTTCTTTACTATAACAGTTTACAATAAAATATGTGATTCTTTATATTTATAACGCTGTCTTTCTTATTACAACCTGATCCCATCCGACTTCCACTTTTCTTTATAAATATTTAAGTAACAAATATTTATATTTATACTAGTAACGCGCGTATTGTAAAATGTAATATATTTTTTTGTTTTTTATATTTTTTAAGTTTTTTATATACTTATACTGTTATTTTTTTCTAATTTGCTACAATAGTTTTATACAAAACTATGCGGTTTTATATTTATAACGTTGTCTCTTTCATTACTGATCCTATCCGATTTCTCTTATAAATACTTAAGTAATGTGTTATTAAATAATACATTATGTGTATAACTGTTGTCAGAACTGCAATTTTGATATTCGCGCTTCTTACTTATCGTATTACTTTCCGCCAAGTAAGATAAGTAATTTTTATACATAGAATTCAATCTACAATGTTACACGCAGCGATACATATATTGTAAATAGAAACATACATGCACAATACATTAACCCTTTGCACTCGAGAGGTGAGTCTCACTCACCACGCGATTTTATGCCGCAACTCGAGAGGTGACTGTCGCTCACCACTGCGTACGCTGCGGTAACTTGATGCGCGGCGATAGTTGTTTACGTTTAGTTCCTTCGACGCGGGTTCCTACGCTCTCTTTGTATAATCTTATAAAGTGTAAAATGATATCCCTTCAAATGGAGATAAGACTTTCTTATCTGAAATTAGTACGCAGCCACGAACCGGACTGCATTTTTGGTCTCAGTTCGAACCTGACAGCCGTGGCAAAGAGTCTAGAAAAGTTAAAGTTTTTGATCCCCATTACCATGAATCGTGATAACGACATAAGCTCTAGTGAAGATGAGTTTGATTTAGAGTTGCTAAACGAGGAAACTACAGCTATACACAGAGAGCTTGACGAAACAGAGAACGCGAGCAGTGATGAAGAGAATGAGGAAGTAAGAGGTGTAAGAAGGCGAAAAATAAGAATAATAGACAGTGAAGGTGGCAGTGACAATGACAGTGTTGCTGAAGATGTCCCACAATCCGACAGTTCCGAATGGATTAGCTGTCCAGAATCCGAAGAAATACCCCAGAGAATACCGTTTATAGCCGGCAACAATCCTGCAGGACCGCACATATTGGCAGACACGAAAGAACCGTTAGCTTTTTTTAAACTATTTTTTACTGACGAGCTCATAAATGAAGTAGTTACAGAAACAAATAATTACGCTAGAAGAAAGTTAGAAAACAAAACACTATCATTGTACTCGATATGGCGAACTTGGAAGAATGTGACTACTGAAGAAATGTGGGCATTTATTGGCGTTATAATAAATATGGGGACAATGCCGCTCGCGAATTTGCAAGAGTACTGGTCACGGAATGATGTCAGCTACATACCTTTTTATTCAAACAAATTTACGAGAGACAGATTCAGCCAGATTTTTTGGATGCTCCATCTAAAAACAATCCCAACAAGAGATGCAAGTCCAAGAACCCAGTTGCAGCTAGTTAGCTGCTTTCTAGAATATATAAATTCCAAGCTTTTGAAGTATTTTACACCGGGAGAAGAAATTTGTGTGGATGAATCTACTATCAAGTTCAAAGGCCGGATTTCTTTTATTACATATAATCCGAAGAAACCAACGAAATGGGGCATTAGAGTTTACACAATGGAAGACTCAAAGACTGGTTACATCTGTGGTATTCTTCCTTATTATGGAAGCCTTACCACGGAGAAATTGATAAGGCCTGACCTTCCGGTATCTGCAAGAATACCGCTGCAGCTGTATACGATGCTCCTGGAGAAAGTACCTGGTAGCCAAGGACACCACATGTTCACCGATCGGTACTACACCAGCTTTATCCTGGCTGAAGAGTTATTGAAATTGAAATGCCACTTGTCAGGAACAATACTAACAAGCAAATAGGAAGCATTTGCCAAATCAAATCAAAAAACCAAATTTCGGCAGGAAATCCACAGTAGCATTCCGCAAGGGAAATACATTAGTTTTATCATGGAAAGACAAGAGGGTTGTCACGTGCTTGACAAATTGGAACAATGCAGGAATGACTTCTGTGAGAAGAATGTTACGAGGCGGTGTTGAAGTTACGGTCAAGAAGCCTAATGTCGTAATAAATTATATAAAATATATGGGTGGTGTCGATCGTGCAGATCAATTATGCGGAACGTACTGTTTCTTACGAAAATCATTGAAATGGTGGCGTAAACTGTTTTTTTGGGGACTTGAAATTTGCTCAGTAAATTCATATTTGCTTTATAAAATGACTAAACAGCAGAGAGGAGAACAGCCGCTTTGTCACTTGAGGTATATGAAAACCTTAGTTCAGCAATTGACTGGAGATTTTCATCACGCACGTGCTCGAGCTTCAACCTCAACCTCCAGTTTTGAAAAAGACCGCTTAAATGGAAAGCTGCACAATATTCTAACGGGAGTTAGAAAGGATTGCAAAGTTTGCTCTCAAAGAAGTACACCTGGCAAAAGACATCAAACAACGTACTATTGTGATACTTGTCCCGATAAGCCGGGCATGCATCTTGGCAATTGCTTCATAAAATATCACACAAAGCAAAATTACAAAGAATAATGTTAAACAAATTATCCTTGTAAACATGTAAAGATACATTAAGTATTAAAATATAAAAGTTTTGTATGTTACTTTGCGTGTGTAATCATTTTATGTTAGTGGTAGTAAAGTCACGAAAAGCGCTACGAAACGTCTCGAGTTGCTGGTAGGTCCGCGCGGAAACGGCCTCGAGTGCAAAAGGTTAATATTTCATCTATGCTCTTTATCGCTAAATCTGCGTAGGCTTACCGCACCAAGAAAATGCAACTCTACAGTTTTATACTGCATGACGCAGCGGTACATATTGTAGTAAATTATTATATCGTCTTTGCTGTTTATCACTACACCTGCAACTTCGCGCGTAGATTTATTGCCAAAAAATGCAACTATGCAGTTTTTAGACTGAACGCTGCGACACGTAACGTAGTAAATACACAATACATATATACAGAATACGTAAAAATAACTGCAACATCGCGTAGAAAAAACAATGCAATTTTTTGTGGTACATGTTGTAGTAAATAAAAAATTATTTTACATATAAATACATTTCACATATATAAGTACATACCGTAAAATTGCCATATTGTCCTCCGCCATATTGCCACCACGTGACGTCAATGGTAATTGTCAGGGTCCACCGCCATATTGCCGTCGCGTGACGTCACTTCCTGTGACTTAATGGTGATCGTCGGGGTTCGCCGCCATATTGCCGCCGTGTAACGTCACAGGACGTGACGTCATACTGCCTGACGTTATTTTTTGCGTGACGTCATACCACGTGACGTAATTGTGATGTCATCCATTCGCTGTAACGTCATACCCCCCGCACCCCCCTCGGAGCTCATGGGTTAGAACTCTTATTATTACACTATCAAGAGGCACGATAGTGCCTCGCGCCAAGTTCACGCGCAACGAAGTGGCGCTCGAACTGTGCGAGCACACTGTGCCTCTTATATGCGAGATTCATGCATTTGAGAAGTGAGGAGATTATCTCAGGGCAATATTTTTATTACAACTGATCCGATCAATTTTGTTGTAGTCTTAATCAATTCAGAATAAAATATTTGAAAAAAAGTATTATTGCGTTTTTTGGTCTGTGGCTTCTGAGTGGAGATATGGACGAATAAACGAAAATGTGTGTGAATGTTTTTAATGATTCAGAAACGTCATAGTCGTCGTCCTATCAAATTGTGTGCATATTCGTATGCTTACCACGAGATGACATACATATACAATCGCGTTGAAAGACAAAAAAGAAAGACAGGAAATGTATTTCGAGACGTTTACACTTTGTGACAAAACCTTAAACATTAGGAAACCGCATAAACGGGTGATACTCTATTGACCACAGTACGATTCGACACCGATCGATTCGACACAAAATTATTGGACACAGATTTATTCGACACCAAATTATTCGACACC